AAGCCCAAATTACTTTAGCGAATGGATTTGGCCCAAACTGCGATTCGTTTCGGCCCCATTTCAAGTTGGTCAGTGTTTCTTGTTCAGCAAGTTGACACTTTCCACTTCAGAAGAAATTGCACTTCCGGCGAAACTCTTTCTCCAGCTAAATTGAATTGTAAGTTCCCTAATTTTCATTATATAAGCTTCCTGCAGCAGTTTGCATCCACTATCTTCAACTCGAACTATATACATTGTTGAATTCTTTTGACAAATATATACTTGTACTATATAATAGCCCCAATTTGTGGTGGTGTAGTAAGATGCCTATTTTAGTAATCGATGTTTTGATAACTTTCCTTAGAATCACAGAAAAAAAAGAGAGAATTTTTTAATGTTTTTTGAGCTTTTCGATATTCAGCATTTGAGATGAAAGTGATAATGTCAAGTTATTTATGAAAGGATTTGAATTATATATATTGATGCTTTAGAAGAATTTTCACGTATAGTTTAACTGATTGTAGGAGGTTATTTTATTCTACTTTCGGGTTATCAACTCAGGCTTACTGTAGATACAGGTACCTTAAATTTGGATTTTAAATAACATGATGGGGTAGATAATTTTTAGATTTGTCCTTGAACAAAAAGTATACCAAAGGCAGCTGTGCCAAGTTCTAGTAACTGCTTTTCGAATTTAGTTTTTGTACATCGTTAATGGATTTCGTAACACATATATTGAGTTTGGGCAAAGCCAGTGGGTCCGCACCCATATCTTAAAGCCTACATCCAGCCCTGCAATTATCCACAACCATTTTTGGATTCTAACTCTGAAATATCAGGATATGATATCAGTTAATTTAATTTATCCCTTTAATCCAATTGAGGCTGTACATATAGGCCCTTGAGTTAAGTTTAGTACATTGGAAAACTTTGTTAGTTAAGTTCTCTAATAATTACTCAATTTGTTTGTCTACCGAGATTGATAAGTATTACAGAGTGGAACATATCTGATTTATCAATTATTGCTGTTAAAGGTTTTCAATGATGAAGATCGATTTTAGTGGACTTGAACCGACTGCCCCACTTCGAGGGGAGTCTTCGGAACTGTTTGATGACATTCCTAGTTCTCCGTCATTCCAGATTCCTAACACTACTAATGTGAGTCTGACTACTTTTCTGTGTGATCAATTATATTCTGTTAATTGGGAATCTATCGAGACCTGAATCTCTAACTATGCTTCCTTTTTTTTCTATCCTGTGTGTTCCTTCAGTTTGACGGTTTTCAAAAAGAAGCAATCCAAATGGTGAAGCCTGCGAAGGGAACCACAACTCTTGCTTTCATTTTTAAAGAAGGTGTCATGGTTGCTGCTGATTCTCGGGCTAGCATGGGAGGATATATATGTAAACACTTCCGCTCATTTTTGTCTTTATGATAAACAATGTGAAGAAAATCGTTTATTACTTGTCAACCCTGCTACTGTTATGAAGCATCGATTTGTCTATGGATCTTGTGATCCTGCTCTCTGCCAAATGACTTGATATGGAATTGATATAACCATAAACAACGGTTCAAGGGACATGCAAGACCTAATTGTTTTCATGTTTGAGTTTTTCTGCATACATGTGAAGCTGTATTTACCCGGTTTCAGCATAAAATGTTATTGGGTTCAAAAGTATCCACATTCTACAAAATTTTCATCAATGGCATATTCAAGTATATCTCTGTGTCATATGCTATACCTTTTTGAGTAGCTTTGTTGTCAATGTCACTAAGGTTATTGGTACAATGGCTAGAACTTGGAATTAGTACCTTAAGCAGTGTGTGTGGATAAATAGAGACATAACCTGATTTCGTGCGTACCTGAAAAGAAAACTTTAATTATCTTCCGTTTTTATATGGTTGTGCTGTGGTCTTATGGACTTGTGCTGCACGAGACATGTGTATGTATTAGTTTTGTATGTTCCATAGCTGAGTGTCAAGTTCTTCATTAGAGGAATGTGAGTTCCAAATTTTAGGTAGTTGGATTTCTACTTCTTTTGGAGGATCCAAATACTCTTTTAAGTGTTATTTCATTATCTGTTGATTTGGCTAATCCTTTTGAGAAATATGTTCTTTTCTTTTTAATATCTCGCAGCATCTCAGTCTGTGAAGAAAATCATTGAAATTAATCCATATATGCTTGGCACAATGGCTGGTGGGGCTGCTGACTGCCAATTCTGGCACAGAAACTTGGGAATCAAGGTATGTGGTTATGAAGTACTCCATTTCCTTTTCCAAGTTGCTGCATTTACCCATTTTTGCCAGGAGAATACTCGATCTCGATCAATTCTGGTCTCTTCCGCATTACAGATCTATGTACTCTAGAGAATTTTAATGCTTCTGATGGCATATATTTATTTAGGGTGGGTATGTCTCTCCTTCCACTCTAAAGTAAAAAGATGAGGAAGGTTAAGAAAGAAAAAAGGAGTTAGCTAATAATGAGAATGGAAATGTGACTAGATTGAAGGGGTAAAAAGAAAGAAATGACAATTATTAAATGGTGTTAGATTTGGGGAGGGAAACGATAATTGGGAAAATGTTATATTCCACCGCTGTTAGCGCACTAGTGTTTTGAAAGTTTCTTCCCGCTTATTTTCTTAAAGGCTAAGCCCCCAAGGGTTTTTGTCTTTTACATTTCTTGGGCCATCTTTCACTCTGCATATTAAAGTCTCCCGAAGTTAAAGTCCAACTATGTTTATTTTTTTTAGTGTGTGTGTGTGTGTTGGGGGGGGG